GCAGGAGGCAAAGTAGTTTACTTACACGTTTAGCCTTAGGTCTGATTGCCTCTCCATGATAGGATGTGTTACAGATAGTGGTTTAAACAGCATTAGCTGGTCATCACATTTTATGCAACTGAAGTATGTCAGCTTCGCTCTCTTATGCGAGACATGTAAAATAATGTATTTGCTCTCTCACCTTAGAGACACCTGGCCCGACTCGGTGACAGGAAGACCCCCTGTGCCTTCCCCAGGATATTCTGATGATGACGAAGGTGATGACAGTGATGAGGTGGAGGGAGATGAAGATCATGTATATCAGTCCCTTGAGAGACAGAGCAGAGCTGATGACATAAATGTTGTTTACGCCGTGCCATTAAAACACAGGAAGGTACAGTCGTGTGTGTTTGTTTGGCTGGGTCTGTGTGTGGAGTGCTTTGTCCTGTTAAGCTTTTGATGCATTTACTAATATTCACCATGAGGTGGCGCTTCTGATTCATTCAAATCCTGCTCTAAATTTGATACCTAGTCTGAGATCATAAAGATCATAAAGAAATTAAAGAATTAAACTCTGATTCAATAGTTTTCTGATAGCTTGTGGCATTTAACCACCCCCTACCCTGCATTTATGCTCATTAAAATATATTATGTATGTGTGTATGTTTTAACTGGCTGAATGAATCTCTCTGTCAGGGCGAGACTAATTCAGACGTTGATGAAGAGATCGAAGACTCTGCATTTGATATTGTGTCTCCCCTACAGACTGAAGGTTAGAAGTAACAAAGAGTTTTAAAATATACTTATATTGAAAGTCTTTTATGCTCAACAAAGCTGCATTTATTTGATCAAAAATGCAACAAAATAGTAATATAGTGAAATGCTGAAATTACTGAAACTCTGCTTTCTCTTTGAATACATTGAATACAAAATGTAATTTATCCCTGTGATGGAAAAGCTGAATTTTCAGCAGCCATTACTTCAGTCTTGGGTGTCACATGATACTTAAGGAATCAATCTAAAATTAATTTGATGCTGCGATTTTTTCAGGAGTCATTGATGAATAGAAAGTTAAAAAAGAGTATTTATTCAAAACAAAAAATATTTTGTAACAATTTTAAAGACTGCTGTTGCATTTGATCAATTAAATACATCTTTGCTGAATTAAAGTATTCATTTCTATTTTCTAATAAAAATCGTTCTGACCTCAAACCTTTTGAACAGTAGACAGTGCATATTCAGTTTTAAATATTAATGTTTCACATCTCACATCTTACTCTCATAACAATTTTATTGACTTTGAGGGCCTTGGTAATTTTGCAGCTTGATGGCTATAATTAATACAATTTTGTATTGCAGAGGAAATTGTGGTTCAGGAAGAAGCAGCTAAAATGGTAAGATAACCTATCTCTTCACATCAGCTGTAATGAGAACCTGGAGTCATTATTTTAATTAAGTTAATTCAGGGTTCAAAGCTAATTTTTTAACACTGCTGTAGGAACGTCAATTATGTTGTGGATTGGTCTGACTCTGGACTAAAGGTCATTCTGCCCCAGGGCTCAACAAATTCTCTAAAGACGGGAAAAATGACCCCTGGCATGAAAGGCTGAGGTTAAGTGCACAAAGGTTGTTATCAGTGAAAGAATATGAATGAAAATCAAAAGATGAAAGAGACAGTTGGAAGGTGTTTAGACTGGGTGGGAACATGAGAGAGAGTTTATTAATAAACTCAGCTATTTCTGACAAGAGAGACTATCATAACCATTCTGATTCACTATTCATTATGTGGCTCTCTGATATGACAGCTATTACATCTGTACATTCTCACACACACACACACACACACACACCATGTGAACCTGTGCTCGGTTAATATGCAGACACACGTACACACATGCACACTGACCAGCCCCTTGCTGTCTCATAACTCTGTGTTGTCAGATCTGAATGCTACCATTCCTGTAGGTGCTTTGAGACCTTTACCAGAGGATCTGTAATCTCATCTCTTAATGAGGAAAATTGCTGAGATGAACTGCCTCTAATGAGCAAGCACAGTGCACTTTTCACTATTAGATATACTTAATAATGCAGTCTACCTTCAGTCTGTTTCAGTCTGTGGTCTTTGATATTCTGCAGTAAGAACCCTTTAATCAGTTAACTTCCCTCTGTCTCCATAGCAGCCATCATCGCTACGGCAACCAGGATCAGGCTCTCCTGGGAGCATGGCATCTCCAGGTACTTCCCCTGTCTGCCATACATTATAAATCACAAAAGCTGAACTCCACATGTGCAATGTCACCTGTGCTAATTTCAGAATCTTTTTGTCAGTTAGTGTGAAACGTGCCCCCTTTTTAGGAATCCTCAAGGCTTTGAAAGAAAAGCATCATTTCAGTTTAATTTTGACAGAGAGCAAATTAAGGACAATGTGAACACCTAATTGATGTCAAATTTATTCAGGCACGGCTTTCAACAGACTGGAGACAAATTAAGTGGTTACTGTGTGATACATTTGTGAGAGGCTCATTGAAGTTTCCTGAAGGAAAAAAAGCAGAATAAAGCCTCTGCCAGTTTAACAAACATCTTCTCATTCAGCTCCTCTCACGAGCTTATTGTTGTCAGCAATGAGATATGAGAGAGATGAGGCTATAGCCATAATGACTATGAGGACAGAGACTGGAATTACCTTGACATTTGTCTTGATATATTCCCTGCTTCTCCTCTTCCTCCACTGCAGTAATTTTGTTTCTTTTTATTGTTAACATAGTGGTGACAGTAAAGAGTTTTAAAACTTACTCCTAAAGAAGCTGTTAAAGAGGAAATTGCTATTAGTTATTTAAAAATTTTAATGTATACAGTATATGCTGTGTGCTGTGTTGGCAACATGATTATTAGCGTTGAAAGACATCAACTGTGCATTACACTGCCAAATGCAAGATATGTATATATTTCACTTGTTTACGCAGACAATTATTTTTTTTGTAAGCCAGTTAGTGGAACTCTTGCTTTTGGCCGAAAAAAGAATACACACAATGCAAATGATGCACATTCTTAAGGTGCGTATTGTGCACACTTTACCGGGCATGCTACATGTGTCATGTTGGCATTCGATTCGTTCAAAATCTAAAAATAATTTACTCAAAAATCAAGTGGAATTTATTTTAACCATGTGGAACAGGTTTTGTGGTGGTGATAACGCTCAGACTTTGAAGCTGCCCGAATTTAAAATTTAAAATTTTCAAATCTGATGGCTCTTCTTGTTCTTCAATGCCTGTGGCATTATAGGACAACAAAGTGTCCACTCTTTGCACACTTAAAGGCATAGTTTACTTAAAAAAATACTTAAAAAAAAAAAAGTAGTTATTTACTCACCCTGGTGTTATGCTAATGCCCTATGCTCTTCTTTTTTGAAGAGAGAGAGATTAAAAAAAAAAAATACCCTGCCCGTGCTTGTCCATTTAATGGCAGTAAATAGCGACAAGCTTCAAATGTGATGACAGAATGATCCCATGTGAATCGTGTCATATTTTTCAAGTGCTCTGCCTGAATGCAATAGGGAAACAAACCGAAATGTAATTTATTATTTAAAGACAATCCTGACCTTGGCCATTGGTCTGCTGTGCACGGCTGCACATTCATGAGACCGTATTAGTGCCACAGTTTACTTTGGATTGCTAAGGAAAAGCACACAGGTACACTGTTTTGATACATCAAGATTAGTAAAAACACTACACAAACCACATATGTGACCCTGGACCACAAAACCAGTCTTAAGTCGCTGGGGTATATTTGTAGCAATAGCCAACAATACATTGTATTGGTCAAAATTATAGATTTTTCCTTTATGCCAAAAATCATTAGGATATTAAGGAAAGATTATGTTCCATGAAGATATTTTGTACATTTTCCACCATAAACATATCAAAACTTCATTTTTGATTAGTAATATGCATTGCTAAGAACTTCATTTGGACAACTTTAAAGGCGATTTTCTTAGTATTTTGATTTTTTTGCACCCTCAGATTCCAGATTTTCAAATAGTTGTATCTCGGCCAAATATTGTCCTATCCTAACAAACCATACATCAATGGAAATCTTATTTATTCAACTTTCAGATGATGTATAAATCTTAATTTCAAAAAATTGACACTTAAGACTTGTTTTGTGGTCCTATACCACACTGTATGCATGTAATTTTTGTTTTTCTTCAAACCCTATCGTACACCTCCAGAACACTTGGAATATATGGCACAAGTAGCATAGTAGCATGGGATCATGGGATTACGTTTAAGCTGTATGCTATTCACTGCCATTATATGGATGAGTTTGAAAGTTTTTTTTTTTTTACATTTCCGAATGTTGTTTTTTTAATTGTCAGAAAAAGAAGGAAGGCCATGACTTGTGAGAGTTAAAGGGATAGTTCACCTTCAGTTGCTGTTCCCCATTGACTTCCATTGTATGGAAAAAAACACTATGCAAGTCAATGGGGACCAACTGCAGGTGAACTATTACTTTAATGTTACTTTTCATGTTTCATTATTTTCACAATACATTGTATTCAATACCCAATATATTTGTGCGTTGCAATACACAGTTTTTTTCATATATTGTGGCTTTTATATGAAATTACTAATAAATGTTTCATTATATTCATTTATTGGAATTAGCAGTGTTCAGTTGCACTCAAGATGTCAAATGGCAGATACAAGCAGACCAGCGTTAGTTTAGCATAGTGGAATTGGATTGCAGAGTGGATTTACCCTCTGAAATAGAGCATGAAACAGCAGGTCTGGGGCTGGGCAGTTGCTGAAAAGTGATCAATGGACTACTGCCAAGCTTTTTATGCACCAGCAGACAATGGCTGTGTCCCCTTTAACAGCAACAGAGACTTCCAGTGAAGGAAGGAATTTGCTGGAGGAGAAGGTGAGGATGACCTTGAGGTCTGATCTAGGGCTAAGATGTCAGAGGCGCAGACAAAATCTTGTCTGTGTTTATAATGTTAGAGACCGAAGACACAGACAGATCAAGGAGAATTAAATCTAGATTAGAAGCAAGGATGATACAGCTCCACTAGGAGTCACAATGTGGGCTTTTCAGCTCCATATTCAATTTTAAGCCTTGTGAGAGTCAAGCAAAATGTCTTCAGAAAGGATGTTTGACATGATGTAATATAGTTTTTACGGCAGTCTGTCGTATAATTCCCACCTTCAGTGAGATCTTAATAATATACAGGATAGGGTCACTCTTTAGTTAAGAAATAAAAAATTCTGTTGTCATTTACTCAAGTCCCCTCATGTCGTTATGACTTTACTTTGTGTAACTGCAAAAGAATGTCATTTTTTTCATGGCTGGATCAGCATGATTTGTGAATGAATCCTTTCAGTTCAGATCAGTTTTGTGAAACAGATCAAGCTAATTATTGAAAACACAGCAAAACTATTCATTTAGATTAAATTGCAGACTGATTATCACAACTTCTCTAATGAATGTACCAAGGACAGCTAGAGTAATTTTTTAGTGAATAACAACAGTCACATGGAGTTGACAAGTATGACTTTAGAAGACTTGGAAAACTTTACTCAAACCTAAATGAACCACTGTTATTATGATACTTTAGGGTGCTTTTGTATCCTTTCTGAAGATGCATCCTTGAAAGCATTAAACCCCATTAATTAAAAATTGCATGCATAAAATGACCTGTACATTTTTTTCCGAATTTCTCCTTTTGTGCTAAATGAAAGAAACAGGTTTAGAGCTGCATGAGGGTGATTTTTTTTCATGTTTGAATGAATTCCTTAAATAATGGAGAAGTGGTCTGGGAAAAGGTCAGCTAACTGATTGACAAAGTAGTCAACATCCGTATTTCATTCAAAGTAGGTTATGAAGACCTCAGCGGTCAGAGAGCATGGAAGAGGGTGGGAAGTGGTTAGCGGAGGGATGGAAAATGATTTGTTTGGGATGGATTCGCATATGCTAATTGTGGAATGATAGTAGTCTCTGCACATTGTATGTTTTCGTCCACTTCTTCCCTGATCCATGCATTTTGTGGTGGTTTTCTGATTTCCAAGGACTTGAAGTGGACCAGCAAGAGAGTTCAGAAACAAAGTACTCGACAACAGGTTTAAGTGACTAGTATTTGGGGGGGAAGGATACAGCTTTTAGAAGTGTCAACAGAAGTAGTCCGAGGAAGTGATTGAAGCAGGTGAGAAGCCTAGAGGATTTCACTGAAGCTGTCTGTGGATGGGAGAGCGGAAGGTGTGAGATTCAAGGGTAATCAGACAAATGAAAGGTATGAGAGTAAATGTGAGGGATAAGCAACTGATACAATATAGCTATGTTTCCATCACCCTGTTTTAATGTGCATTTTGAGGTATCACATCAGAAACAAGTGATGGAAACGGCAAATTTCGAGAAAAAGAAAAAAGTCCCTGTGAAAACGTTTTTATGCTCGCTTGAGGTGGTTTTTGTCTTTGCGAAAAAGGGTTAATGCGAATAATGGGAGATGGAAACGCATTTGTTGAATAAATTCTTCCATGCGCATCAAGAAAGTCATGTGACTTTGTGCATAACCTGACTAACCAGTGGACCAATCTTTCTGCACAGGATCTGAAATGTTGTTATGGTCATTCTGAAATGCCCGAGAAAGGTCTGTCGTCAAAGTATTTCTGTATTATTGCCTCCCAGAACTGTTACGCGACTGCGTTCCTGAACAGCAGGCATCCACGAAAGCAATGACCGCATTCATTGTGTTTCATCTGCTCACTCTTGAGGCACAAGTCATTTTATTATGAAAATTATTATCTATTATAGTGGCTTCTCCCACTTTTCTTAGTGATATTTAGTGCCAGTTTATCAGAAAGTGAAAATTTTGTTATTTTTGACTCGGATGGAAATGTTTTATGCGAATTTTGTGCACAAGTTAATTCGCAACTTTGTATGGAAACCCGGCTTATGAGGTTGGTTGCCAGCCATGTGTTTTTTGGCAGACAAATGGGTGTGAAAAATTAATGGTATAAGGAGATGTTAAAAATAAACTGGAGTACTGGAAGGTTTATAGATGTTGCCAAATAATAGAAGATCACTGAAAATAATAGAAGCACACTGTCTTCATGAAAGGAGTTGGCTAAGACTGCATTGAGCTTATTAAAGAGACAATCATTATATCTGTGTTCAATAAATATTTGAATATGCAGAAGCATTTCTTGACACAAAAATAAAAATGTACACTACCATTCAAAAGTTTTTTGAAAGAAATGAATACTATTGTTCATCAAGGATGAACTAATCAAAGACATTTTATTATTGTTCAAATATTTCAAATAAATGCTGTTCAATTGAACCTTCTGTTCATCAAAGAATTAAGCAGCACAATTTTCAGCACTGATGATAGTAAGAAATGTTTCTTGAGCACCATTCTAATATGCTGATTTGATTTCTGAAGGATCATGTAACCTGGAAAGACTGGAGTAATGTCTGCTGAAAACTGATGTGCTATAACAGGAATACATTACATTTTAAAATATATTAAAATAGAAAAGTTATTTTAAATTGTAATAATATTTCACAGTGTTACTGTTTTTACGGTGTTTTTGATCAAATAAATGCAGTCTTGGTGAGAACAAGATACTTTTTTTTTTTAAACGTTTTAAAAAAAAATCATCAAACGGTATATAAAATGTTTTTTATTTTTTTATTATTTAGATGATGGACTACCGTCATTAACAACTCATTTACTCACTCACTTAATTATCACTCTCTAATTCTGTTGTACAATTTTGCTCATTTATTTGCCCAATCAATTTATCACTTTTCTACTACTACCTCACTCACCTCCTTGTTTTATAAATGTTTTTTAATTTTGTTCTTGTCAGAGCTAAATGATGACTGGAGCGCTCAGTCTCACAAATCAGTGAATACTTCAAAAAGGAAGCCCTCACGGATGAAGGAGAGTCCAGTGAGAGGGAAAGAGAGAGACATCAGTCCAGGTGAGGGGGCATGAACTCTACTCTGTGACCTTTCCAGCATTTTTGTCTTTCCAATTAATCATTTTGGAGCTAAAATCTTCTGGTAAAGTCATGGTAAAGTAATTGTAATGCATGGCCCGGAGTGGCTTAATGCTTCATTTAGATGTTCAATAAACAATTAAATGTTTTACTGGCTATTTTACAGCTTAGAACCAGACACATCCCACCAGATTTAACTAGATTGTTAGGACAATTCTAGGTAAAGACTAGAGCACAAAGACTAATGAAAGAAACTAATGAACTAGATCTCATTAGTTCTACAAGTTATTTAATAATATTAAGCTTGTCTGTGTCTAATTTTGTTTATGCTGCTTATTTTCATGAAAATATAGGATCAGACAGAGTGTGTATTTTAATCTGTGGTAATGTGATAAGGCTGACATTAAGATCAGCCAGACTAATAGAATGAATATATTGAGGAATCTCAACAGACTGTACAGCGCCAGACTCATTAATGTGTATTAGGACTAAACAGATGGTCATAAACACGTTGTACTGTTTTACATCAAATGGAATTAATATAATACGGGTCTCGTACTGGCAGGGATTGTAGGTGGGGGGAGTGAATGTACAGCGCTCTCTCCCACCTTCAATACCACGACTGAGGTGCCCTTGAGCAAGGCACCGAACCCCCAACTGCTCCCCGGGTAAAAAATGGCTGCCCACTGCTCTGGGTGTGTGTTCACGGTGTGTGTGTGTTCACTGCTGTGTGTGTGCACTTTGGATGGGATAAATGCAGAGCACTAATTCCGAGTATGGGTCACTATACTTGGCCACATGTCACGTCACTTTCACTTTTTTCATAATCATAAATCCAAAAAAGAAAATCAGTCTGCTTAGGAAATTACCTTCATGTCAAACCTTTACATACTGCTGTCTTCTCCTTCATTTCTCTTCTGTCACATTTTCATTTGTTTGTGTCCTGCTGTTTTCTTTCAATGCAATTCTTCTTTGCTGTCCTGTCTTTGCATTTTGTGCTCTTGTTGGTGGTGTGTTGTTGTGCTGTTGCTGTGTTCTGTTTTGTTTTATACTGTTAAAAATTCTCTTTTCATATTCGTGTGTAATGTATTTGCTTTTCTGTGCTGTGGTTTTTATTCTGTGTGTGGCTGTGCCGTGTTTTGCCCTGCCCTGTGTGCTGTGTGGTGCAGAGGCCAGTGAAGCGTTGCGCAGTACGCTAGAGGTGCAGCAAGCACTTGTAAAGGAGCAGAGGGAGCAGACTCAAATTCTGGCCCAGGAGAAAGAGACGCTGGAGAAGAGATGTTTACAACAGAGTCAGCACATAGAGCATCTCCGGCAGGAGCTCTGCCGCTCTCACACAGAGAGAGGAAACTCCACAGGTGCCTCCTCACTCGCTGCAATACATCCCACAGCACTAACAGAGCCTATCCAACATTAAAGGGACCGTTCCCCCAAAAATGAAAATCCTGTCATCATTTACTTACTGTCATATCCATATGAATTTGTCTCTTCTATGGGAGGTGAATGTTTGAAGAATATTCTGGCCACTTTTTCATTATAATGTAATAAAATGAATGAAGACTGGGGCCGTAAAATCACAGTTTTTGTATGACCTCAGAAGACTTTGGATTATACTTGTATGGACCATTTTAATTATGCTTTTATAAAATTTGAATGGTAGTTTTGTGTCCTTTTGGAAGCTTGAATGCTCCAATCACCATCCATTGAACACTAAGCGTTACTTGCACAGTCTTCATAAATGATCCTTTTTAAGGGAAAAAATACATACAGGTTTTGGAATAGCACGAGCAGGAGTAAACAATGACAGAATTTTAATTTTTGGGTGACCTATGCCTTTAAGCAACATACTGTGGAACAAAATCTACATTTCAAATAGGCATAATCTTCAACATATGCCTACTTAATTTCAAGCAGTGTTTTGAGCAGTAATTTTTGACAACTGAGCTGTAAAGTCAATTAAACAACCCATTTTTAATGAAACTTGTGCTTTTTTCATACTCAGTGGCCCTTTTATTTGGTACAACTTTCTAATTCTGGGTAGGATCTCTAGAACAGCCGGCTTACTTGTTATTGGTCCCATATGATAGTATTACACAACTACTGATGATTTGTCAGCTGCACATTCAGGCATATTTTTACATCATTTTTTGTGAATAGTGTCAAGAAACTGGGAGGTCAGCAGTTTCTGAGATACTGAATCCACTCCAGCAGTGACCAACAATCATTCCACAGTCAAATTCACTTAGATCACATTTCTTCCCTGATCTGTGCTTGGGTTTGAACAAACTCTGAAACTTCTGAAAATGCTTGCATGCTTTGATTGCTGCCCTATCATTATCTGATAAGTTATTTGCATTAACCAGCAGGTGTACACGTGTACCTAATAAAGTAGACACTTATACTGCAGGCATTTTATGTCTCAGGGTTGATTTTTATTCAATTCAATAGATTTCAACTTTTTGTCTTTAAAACTGTTTAGCATCGCTTCATTATTCATTTGACGTTTTTTCGAAAAACCTTTTATACTTAGATTTTATTATTTTACCGTTGTCCCAGACTGACTTTCTAAAATATGAAAAAACATCAAAAATGATTAAAATGGCATCCTGAAGAAGACCTTCCTCTAAATGTGAGTGTAGCCCATTTATTCAAAATTCATGGGTCTATTAAAGTCAGCTGTGCTTGAATAAAGGGTTTTCATGCTGCATCCTAATGCTCCCAATCTTAATGTTCACACAGCTGTCTTTCAGTTGTGGCATCATTCCCATCACAACTGACAATTTATCCCCTAGTAACATTTTTCCCAAAAAATAGTCTACCTGGTTACCAAGGAGATAACAGTGTCAGTGAAGAGATGATTTATGAGACATTTGATGTGTGCAGAAAACAAAATAAAGCAAAATAAAATCAGGAGAAATATAACTTCTGAACATACTATGTAAAATAATAATAATAATAATAATAAACTTAAAATTAGCTTTAAGGCAAATTAGCCTTAGGATATAATTTCCAACACAAAATGAATAGTGATTTTGAGATGTGCCAGAAATTATGCTTGATCATGGCTGTTCAGGTAAGGAAAAATTAATTGATATAATTCTCCCATGATACATGTACATACATTTCTAAAAGTCTAGAAGACCCAAAGTGCCCATAGTAGAAGAAACACCCATATATGTATATATTTCTAGAGTTTTTTTTTTTTCTGGATTAGTTGTGTGTGGTTTTGCGTAAATCAGCTCTGATATAACTATGTGCAGTTGTGTGTGTATAGGTGAGAGCACTGAGTTACAGAATCTGAGGCAGCAGGCTCAGGAGCCGGTGGATGAGAATGATGGGCTGAAGATGACAGTTCACCGTCTCAATGTGGAGCTCAGCAGATACCAGGCCAGATTCCGACCACTCACCAAGGATGAGGTAAAATAGCCCACTGTACACCATTTTCAGAGACAGGTTGGAAAGCATTTTAAAGACAGGTCTATAGGCTCAAACCCAGCACTACATTAAACGAGTCAGGAGTTTTGAAATGTTACACTTTTCGAAAAGTTACAGTGAACATTCCCTCCCCTCAACTATACATAAATATCAATGTATATGTAATGGATGATCTGAATTTTCTAGCTTTGCGTAAGTTAGAAGTAGGAGAGTAAGAGTTACTCTGTAGGAAGAGGAGAGAGCTACAATTCTACAAATGCACTTTTAAGTGCTTGCAAAACAATATGTGTGGTGCTTTCACATTCTGTGGAAAGAAACATGTCACACAGACTTTAATTAAAATTCTGGAGATGATTCTCTGAAATGATAAATGTTTGAGTTCATGTACGGGACATTATATCTGCAGTCTCGCTTGCCTTATCCTCTGTTTTGATGCGAGAGATCGGTGCTCTGTGATAACTGAAGTTAATTGCTGCATATCTGCATAGACTGATTCTGGAAGGCCGCTGGGAACTATTGTTCAATTTTCTTCTGATGAAAAAGGAATCGGCTCTCAGAATCTTAGTAGTATATGGCACTGTCTCCTTTCAGTCTTGCAGGGTGTGATTAGCTGACACCACAGTAATGATATGCAGCTCTTCCTTTCATCTCCCACTTCCTGTTTAATGCAGAGATGATAGTTTGCAGGGTATTATAATTTCAAAGGAGCATTAGCCAGCGAGAGGTTGAGATCAGATCTGTGTGCGCGCGTGGAATCAGAGATTGTTTCTGCTTTACCCTTGCATGCTGCTTGTCTTAGCCTTATGAACACATTAATCTTCTAGAGCCTCTGAGATGGTGGGCAGCTGAGACACTTCCAAAAATGATGTAGACCTTTATTTAACCGTATCACTATTAACGCTTTGGTGTCAATGTTATTTAAATATGCTGGGATTTGCATGTAGGAGCATGATATTGGAAAGAGCCCTGTAACTAATGAATTGAGTTGTTGTAAGTTTTATGAGCCTTTATGCAGTGAATAATAAGTGGAAAGCACTCAGAGGAACTGCATAACTGAGCTTCTTTAAGAAAGCCTCAGAAGAGTTTGACAGCCCGAAAGCACCGTGACCTCTTTGCCGTCCATCTTTGAAGGATCAAAGATCTCAGATTTGTCCCGCTGGTGTCATTTTATTAAGGAGGAAGGGCTGGATTAAGCTTATTTCATATTGATGAGGGCTGTTTGAACTTTGAGACTGTCTGGCTCACTGGTTCACTGAGAGAATGGCTCTACTGATTGCTCAGATACTTCAGTGTAATATATTAATCTGCTTTTCATTCATCTGTACAGTATTCTGATGCCTGTCATGCTCCTCATTTAAAGATGAGCTTAGGGCTAACAGTCCTTAACCACAATAAATTAGAGATCTGCTGATCACAGAACTGAAGCTTTCCTTAAATATTCCAATTCCCATTTTCACCTCTCAGGAGGTTTCGGTTAATATTTTCCATTTAAAAAATGATCATATCAGTTCTGTTCATTTAGTGCGATTGAACATTCGACTGTCCTCGACTCTTGAACTCTGGTTGTTAAAAGACTGACTTTAATTTGAGCACTGGTGTGTGGTTGGGCAGATGCGAGCGGAGAGAGGAGACAATCTGCAGGCTAAATATACTCTGTCACTTTAGTTTCAGGTTCAGTCGCCTGGATCTCACTCTCTCTTCTGTTTTTTCTTTCCTGCTGCCCCTCTTTCCATCTCAGCAGGAATTAAATTTAAGGAAATTTGGTCAGTTGTCACATGGGCTTTAGTTAAAGAAGACACAGACACATGCTGCACTTCTGAAACTAGGCTCTCTCTGTCTCCTTCTTTCTCCATTCACCAGCCTTTGCTTTTTACAGTACTGCTGATTGCTTCCCTTTCTAGCCTTAAGTGGATCAGTGTAACGCTGAATGTGTCTGAACACTCTGTTGAGGGAGCGGGTCGCAGGAAGCGTGCACTGGAGGGCTGCTGGAGTGATTAGGGCAGTGGTGTGTGATGTGATTGAGTCATTAAGTCTGGGGACTCTCAGCAGTGTTACTTTTACTCTTAATTAGAGATAAAAAGTACATTGCACACAGGATCACGCAGCACTTTGCAAATAAAATTATTTTAGGATAAGTAGCATTTTAAAAACTGTATAAAGAATGACTTTTTCTAATGAATTTAATGACCTATAATTAAGTTTCATTGTAACAAAGTTTAAAGGGGTCATATGGTGCGATTTCAAGCTTTCCTTTCTCTTTGGAGTGTTACAAGCTCTTGGTGCATAAAGAAGATCTGTAAAGTTGCAAAGACTAAAGTCTCAAATCCAAAGATATATTCTTTATAAAAGTTAAGAGTCAACCACGCCTACCTAAAACGGCTGGTTCTAACACACCCCCACATCTACATCACGATGAGGGAAGATTTGCATAACGCCGCCAAAATGCTCACGCAAAGAAAGAAGGCGTAACTTTTATTCTCGCTGTAGTATTGTTGCTGCCGCCATGTCGTG